CATCCTTCAGATCCAATCTCTGTGAGAGGATCGGCAAGATGTCCTCATCTTCAGACAGCTGAGGTGCCCAGATTTCTGTCATGCGGTTGCGAAGAGCAGCCGAAAGCTCACGTTTTCCGTAATCACCTCCGGGGTTCATAGTGGATAAGAATTGGAATCCACCATCTGCCACAACCATTGAATCAACGGGGCCCTTCTCAGCGAGAAGAATCGACCTAGCAGGTTCCAGAACACTGTTGAGTCTTTCAAGAACGGAGTCATCCGCGAGAGAAATCTCGTCAAGAAGGAAGAATTGACCGGTCTTCATGGCGGTAATCAGGCTTCCGTCGGACCATTCAAACAGGGCATTGCAGCGAATAGCGTTCTTCTCAATCTTCTTCAAGAGAAGCTGATCCTTGGCTTGGCGCTGCTCCGCGGTCAATGCTGTGAATTCCTGCTTCAAGTCATCGAAAGACGCGCCGCTCAGCTGCCCGTGAAGGAGAATTTGAAGGTCATCTACAAGCTGTTTCTCGATAGCAGCCCGGTTTCGGATAGGCCGTTGAGCACCAATCAAGTCGCCGGTCTCCAAATTGACATGAGCGTTGACAATGAACAACTCGCGTCGGAAAGCTTCAGCGACGGCCTGGCATAGCTGGGTCTTACCGCAACCGGTTTCTCCGACAAGAAGGACTGGTTCGTTGTTCTTGAGGGCCTTCGAAACGAGAATGAATAGACGTCTCATGGCTTTAGTCCACACAATACCAATTGGAAGCTCGCTCATCTCAGGAGCATTCTTTTCCAGCTCTGCAGAGCTATACAAAGTATCCTCGTCCAGTTTTACCTTCATCACTTCCTCGATCACGGTTTTGACGGCGGCTTTCTCTTGGGGATTTCGAACACGCTCGCCGAGAAGCATATAACCGTTGACTGCTAGCTGCTCGCGATCATCGGCATCACGAAGAGCCCATCGGAAAAGATCACGCAGAGTGGCAAAACTGTTCTTTTGCTCAAAGAGTCGATTAGACTGACGCAGCAAGGACAATTTCCGGTAAACTTCAACAATCCGCGTGCAGAAGGAGGGAGCGATCTGAGAACGTTCTTTCAGAATAAATTCCAGCTCGCTTTCTGGAATGTCATCGAAGTGCAGCTCGAGGAAACGGTTCCTGAAGGCACGGGATAGGACCTTTCGGCCACCGTACAGACCAGCGGGATTTTGCGTGGCAAACAGCATGAAGTTCGGATGCGGGTGGACAACTTCTTGAGTTTCGGGAATGAAAAGCTCACGATTATCATCGAGGAGTCGGTTAAGGGCTTCAAGAACATCAGAAGGCGCTAGATTCAGCTCATCCAGCACAATCCAATAACCGTTCCGCAGCGCCTCCACCAACACACCCTCTTGATAACGCAGGCTTCCATCGTCTGACGAGATGTAAGACCCTAGGTACTCTTGCAGATCTGTATGCTCGTGATTGTTAATTCGTACAAATTTGTTTCCAGACACCTTTGCCAGATACTCGATCATACTCGTCTTTCCGGCTGATGTCGGACCCTGGAGCAGAACGGGGAATCGCCGAGTTGAACTAGCCCGGACTAAGTTCTTCAGATTCTTCTCAATGAATGGGGTGATAATGTAGTGTGGCTGCTCCTCCGGGAGCATAGGACCGCGGCGCATCCAGTAATGTTTGAATTGCACATAATCATTGCCATCAGTTGGTGGGCGGGGGGTCTGTCCGAGAAGAGACTTGGCGTTCTTCGCGTTCCCAAAGATATGAAGCTCAAGTAGAGGTATCAAAGCCCGTTCGGAGACCAAGCTCAGCACGGTCAAGAAACTCATACTAAAACCCTCAAACATTGCCCTGCGTAGCCCGTAGACATGTGCGTGGTCGATGACATAGATCAAGGCCCGCACAAGAGTACGGATACTGAAATGAGGTCGCTGTCCAGCTCCATCAGTAAGCTTGTTCTCGTTGCTGAGCTTCTTGGTCACCATGTAAAGCTGTGCGAGGTCTGGCACGGCACGCTGGTCACTGATTGTCAAATCACCAAGGTATTTCTGGATCAAAGCCAATAAATCATCCAAGTCGCTATCGGGTGAGTGTACGTAGAATTCGGTGAACCGAGAACGCAAACCGGGGGGAAGGTCTCTCTTTCCAGCATCTGTTGCAGGGTTCATAGCACCGAAGATACGGAATTCCGGGTGGCCGAAGACTCTCTCAACATCGCCAGCCTCGGAGAGGAGAACAGATGGCGTTCCCTCACTTCCGTGGTGCAGAAGACTGGCAATATTCTCAAGGGTATCAGGGGAAGCCAAGTTCACTTCATCCAGGAGGACCCATTCGCCGTTTCGTAGGGCTCTCACAATCTTACCTTGGACAAAGGCAAAGGCAAATTTGGCATCACCTTGTGAGACCTGAGCCTCGAAATCTCCGAGCTGTGTTGCGAAGCTCTCCCATCTTTGCCGCAAGTGCTGGTATTTGGGAGAATCCAGCTTCCGTTTTTTGGCTGGCTGTTCATCGCCATTCTCCCCTGTGGCATTCGAGGGATTGAACACTCCATTTGCAAGACGAACGGCTTCGTGCCACAAGGTCACCAATCGTACCCAATTGGAAGACGCGGCACTCTTCGATATGGACGACAAGAACTTCTGGTTCTTTTTGGCCGAGAAAGTCAGTTCAAAGAGCTGAGTGAATTCATCGAGCATTGGAACTGCCATTGTACGGATGTTGACGGGTTTGAAACCACCCAGCAGATCAGTGCTTTCACTCTGTTGTGACAAATTTACTACTGTGAGTTTCTGACGCATCAAAGATGCAAGATGCTGGATGACCGTGGTCTTTCCGATACCAGTTTCTCCAACAAGTAAAACAGGCTCTGCCATCTGGATTGAGGCAGCTACCTGTTCCATGAGGGTTAATGCCGCTCGGGTGGGGGCAAATCGTGAAGCTGCTGCGGCAAGCTTCAATGCAGATCCACTTGGTACTTTGATCTTGTTACAGGTTTCTCTGCCAAGAACAAGGCTGTTGTTCTTGTCGATATAAGAGGGGGTGCGTTCATTGAGACAATATTGCGCTCGCTGGGGAGAAATTTGAAGCGCTTCGGCCACAACGGCGGCGAGAGTGCTTTGCATTGACTTCTCGGGCAGATACCGGAGGAACACGTCAACAATGTCGAGGAATATTTCATCCTCGGTACCTTCTGACGTGGGCTCATAGCCAGTCTTCGCACCTATGCGGTGTAGGCGATTGTGCAGACGGTTGCACAACTTGATCAAATCGCGGAAGCCCGGGGTACGGCCTTGAGAGCCCTTGATCGCAAGACTTCCATGGAATGCAGAGCATACTCGTCCGTAGACGTTCATGAGAGTTGGCACACGAGACTCAAGCAAAGAGAACTTTTGCAGGATGACATCACGCATCTCATCCACGGGAAGAGACTTGACTTGCACTCTCTCCCAGAGTCTGCTTCCGAGCATTGAATTGCTCGGTGCGATCTCCTCGCCGGCAATGTTGTACGATGACTTCATGGTTGCGATGATTTTGAAGCCCTCGGCACACTTGATTCGCTCCCTCCTGCTCGGGATAGTGAGCTCGCCCCTCTCAATGATCGGGAGAATGAGGCCCATTACTTCAGATGGAGCACGATCAAGGTCTTCAATCAACACCCAGCGACCTTCGCGTGCAGCCTTGGTCAATACACCAGGCTGCCAAGAAAATGATCCGGAGGCAGATGAAGTGGCATACATTCCAAGCAGACTCTTCGCATCTGTCTGTTCGTTCAAGTGAAGTGTGACCATAGTTTCAATCTGGCCCATCGTGGCAGCAATATCATTAATCAAAGAGGTCTTCCCGGAGTTGGGCAAACCGACCAGCAGGATGGGTTTGTAACCGAGTAATGACCCTGCAATTCGGCGCAGATTTTCAACTGTGGTAGTAGTCTTGACGACAGACGAAGGAGCCGCGGGTGTATCTTTCAACCTGGGAATCAAAACACCGCAGATTTCTGCGGTCTTGGTTGTGAAAGAGTCCCGTGTCCTCTCGATCAACGCCAGGGTGTTGTTTTCCGTCCTGGAAGTCCTCTCGGCCCGAATAATTCCCCCAAGAGTCTCCCATCGGCGTTCTTCCCACAATCCTAGCACACGGTAATCGATCAGAGTGCCTTCCCACTCTCCTTCTATAGGCTCAGTCCCGGTATTGACGCGGACCATCTTTTCGGTTGCCGCATCGGCTGCGTGCATATATAAGGCAAAGCATCGTACAGCAAGGTATCGTGTTACTCGATCTTGGGATTGGAAGAGGGACTGCAGTTGAAGCGGTGAAATGATGGGAGAGAAGGTTTCAAGATCAAATGAAAGAAGTCGGAAGAGGGCGAGGAGTAGAAGTCTAATGCTAACTTGATCCAATTGTAGCAGTGTTAATTCCTTCGACACGGCCAAAGCCACCAAAGGTCCAGTCTGTGATGAGGCATATTGACTGGCAAGCGAGCGCAGGTGCGGCGCAAATGGTAAAATCTGCGCGAATGCCGCTAATACATGAATGTAGTCGGCATGTAAATCCGATTGAAGCCATCTAGCTGCAAGATCGACGAAAATCGGTTCGTATAGTCTGAAAATGCTCTCTGTAAATTCGTTGTTTAATGCGCCAAGCGCAAGAGCGTGGAGGTGTTGCGTCCCCGATGCAGTCCGAATGAAAGTCGAGATTCCACTCGGAAGCTGCTCGAGAAGTTCGGACTCAGTAAGAGTCCTCTCATAGACCGGCCTCCGATCCATGTTTAATCCGGTCGTGAGAGAAACTGTGAAGTTTGTAATAAAAGAGGAAATCCCGCTTCATCGGCTTTCGCTCCAACTTTTTTTTCTTTCTGCCGCCTGTGGCGCAGCCCCGCCTAGACCTGAGCCCCACCGCTTTTGATCGCGGAGCTTGCGCCACACTTGCGCGTCCAACAAAGCTGTCCTTGAAACAAGGTCGTTTTTAAGAGGAGATGCTGATATCGCGATATCGCGGTTCATTTATGTTATACTAATTCCAATGAGTGGTCAGGGCTCAGGTGGCGAGGGCCAATCTGGGACGCAACTAGGATCTGATCAAGACATCCTTCAGCCTCAAGAAGTGAATCGGGAAGCCGAGAGGTTACATGAGCCGTATGCCTTGGAGCCTCCACCTTTCGCTACGGCGCTGATCAGGTTATTTATTTAGGATCTCCTTCAAGCGAAAACAAAAACAACGATCACGGTTCAGTCTATCTAACCTTCTCTCCCCTCCCTCCGGCGGATCGGATACTGGCTTTGGCTCTCCGGCGCCGCAAGGTGGTCAGAACGGCGATGCATCGCCACTCGATCCTTACGCGCCGATAGGGCTCAATAGTGGTGCTGAAGCCTCAAAAGATGGCGCGCCATTGGACTGGTACGTGGAAGGCCCAGGACGACGTGTGGGCTACGACGACTTCACTGCTATCGATTGGATCTACGAGTATACCAAGGAGCGGCAAAGGAAACGGCTTCTTTACTCGAGTGGACAGGGTCTATTGGGCCATGCTCGTCGACTGCTTGACGCAAGCAATGTCTGGTTAGTGTTGATTGCGACAGGCATTGCTGTAGGAATAATCGCTGCTTCTATCGATATTGCAACGGATTGGCTAGGTGACCTGAAGTCCGGATATTGCAAAAATGGAAGTGGAGGTGGCAAGTTTTATCTCAACAAGAGCTTTTGCTGCTGGGGTCTCGATGGTAAGCCGATGGCGTCAAATCTCTACAAGTCTCACTACTGAATCTGGATTTGGTATAGATCAATCTAAGTGTTTAGACTGGACACCTTGGGGAAATGCATTAGGCGCAAAGTCCAGTGGAGGGGCATATACGGTTGGATATGTCTTTTATGTTTCATTTTCGGTAATGATGTCTCTGTCTCTTACCTTTAGGGCTCTATTGACAGTACATATCTAGGTTTTCTTTGCTGCATGTGCTTGCTTCTTGGTGCGAAATTATGCCGTTTATGCTAGACACAGTGGAATCCCCGAGATAAAAACGATCCTCGGTGGAACTGTCATCCGACATTTCATGGGACCATGGACACTTGCCATTAAATCACTGGGCCTGGTGAGTCAAGCTTCTTCTTGTTATAAGGCATTTTTGCTGACAACGATCAGTGTCTTTCTGTGGCTTCCGGTCTATGGCTAGGTAAAGAGGGCCCACTTGTGCATGTTGCATGCTGTTGCGCGAATATCCTGATGAAACCTTTTGAAAGCCTGAAAGGCAATGAAGGTACGTGATTAATTCTATATTTCCCTCTGCGCATTTACTCATTTCACAGCACGCAAACGAGAGGTTCTTTCTGCGGCTGCTGCAGCAGGTATATCAGTCGCATTCGGGGCACCCATCGGAGGTGTTCTTTTTAGTTTGGAGGTATGAGCCATTTTCAATCTTGTCCTATATACTTTGCTGATTATTCTAGCAACTTTCATATTATTTTCCCGACAAGACAATGTGGCAAAGCTTTGTCTGTGCCATGGTCGCAGCTGTCACTTTGCAAGCCTTGAACCCATTCCGGACAGGTAAAATTGTGCTGTATCAAGTCACCTACACTCGAGGCTGGCACCGCTTTGAGATCATCCCGTTCATTATTCTTGGCATCATTGGCGGCCTCTACGGTGCATTCCTCATCCGCCTGAATACTAAAGTCACCAAATGGAGGCGAGCTCGGACTTCCTCTCGACCAATCATCGAAGTGGTTGTCGTGGCTCTCATTACAGCTTTGATCAACTATCCAAATCACTTCATGCGGGCTCAGAACTCGGAGCTTGTCCAGTCGCTGTTCGCCGAGTGCAACAGTGTGACATATGATCGATTTGGTCTCTGCGCCACGGGATCTGCCTCAATCGGCGTGGCAATCTACCTGGTCGTTGCTGCTTTACTTGCCTTTTTCTTGGCTTCCTTGACATTTGGACTTGAGATTCCTGCGGGTATCATCCTTCCTTCGGTCGCTATCGGTGCTCTTTACGGGCGTGCTCTGGGCATTATAGTTCGCTTGTGGCAAGAATCTTATCCGCAAGCATTCCTGTTTAGCAGGTGCGAGCCAGACATTCCATGTGTCACACCTGGCTTATACGCAATTATCGGGGCTGCTGCTGCTCTTGGTGGTGCTACTCGAATGACTTTGTCAATTGTCGTTATCATGTTCGAATTGACCGGCGCGCTGACCTACGTCATCCCGATCATGATTGCTGTGATGCTGTCCAAGTGGTGTGGTGACATCTTCGGGAAGCGAGGTATCTACGAGTCATGGATTCGACTAAACGAGTATCCTTTCCTCGATCATCGTGATGACACCACTCCGCCAGACGTATCTGCCAACCGGGTCATGACAACCGTGGACGATATCAGCATCATTACTGCCACCGGTCATACTATTGCCTCGATCCGCAACCTCCTAGCTAACACTACATATCGCGGATTCCCCATAGTATCAGACACGTCGAGTCCCGTCCTTCTAGGCTACATCACCCGCAATGAGATTTCTTTTGCGCTGAAATACTCGACCTCTGGTACAGCCCGCAACCTCTCCGACGAGACACAGGTCTTCTTTTCGCATCAACCTTTTGCAGACCCTAGTGATACCCTTGATCTACGACCTTGGATGGATCAGACACCGATGACATTGAACAGTAACATCACCTTTTTGATTGTTTTGAAAATGTTCCAGCGCCTTGGCTTGCGTTATGTGTTATTTGCCAACAAGGGTATTCTACAAGGACTACTGACCAAGAAAGATGTTTGGTCAGTGCTGAATGGCGTGGAAATCCGCCGAGAAGAAGCCCTTCGAGACGAAGAATACCAGGATTTCGAAAATCGTAATGAGGCTGAAGAGGTTGGTTTGCTTGATGGGAATGATACATCTAGTCTTGGTAGTTCGCTGAGGCGGGATTCCCTTTGATGATATTTGCTACCATATTGCTCGGTGTATCTTGATTTTGTTACAATGTTCACGAATATTCACTTCAAATGATGCCAGAGAAGTCGCTACGTTATGTATGGAGTACGTAGCAGGTTATCGAAATAAAATTGCGGCTTCGCCCCACCGCCTTTCTGACCCCACATATTTCTGTCGGCTTTTTAAAACTGACCGCTCTCATCTCTACCGGTACGGCTACTGATCTTCCTACCCTTGAGGAAGCCATAACACCGGAAGATAAAATGATGATCGATCCTTTTGAGGTGCGCATGCGCTTCACTACACAGCTGCAGCACCTCAGTGCTGCTGTGACATCATCGCAGAAGGCTGCGCATTATGCGCTGAAGTACCGTGACCTCGATGAGGATCTTCACTCATGCATCCTGGAGCAGCTTGAGCGGGTAAGAGCTCCGATTTCATTGTGTGTTGATCTATTCTGACTTTACATGTGGCAGAACAACATGAACAATCGTGCGAACATCATGTACTTTATTGAACACCTCTGCGAAATGGCCATCAAGGAAAACTACCTCCCATACGTGCGCATGATGCAACGAGACATTTTGCGCGTGGTCGACTCGGTCGTTCCTCCCGATGGCACTGGCGCAGCCAATGTCAAGCACGTCCGTCACGTCTTGAACGGTCTCCGAGCGAAGGAAGTCCTCAGCGCCGAAACCGTGGCCGAGATCGACGCGGCTCTGAAAGACCGCGATTCCCATCCCTCCCACCTGGATCTTGAACATGAGGAAGGCCCCGAGGGAGGCAGCAAGTCGAAGTCTGAGAAGCCCCAACTGCGCCTTGACAAGAAGCAGATCGAGCAGCGCATCGAGGAAGACCGGGAGCGCAACAAGCGTCAGCGCGAGAGCATGTGGGCCATGACTGGCAGTGATCAAGACGAATATAATCAGATGTGGGAGGAGCTCAGCCCCATTGGGGAGGACGACTTTATCCGGTCTCGTGAGGAGGCTTTAGAACGCGCCGAGTGTTTTCGCAAGCACGAGGAGTTTTATAAGAACCTCTACGGTATCAATGAGTAATGATTTCCAGGAGTTTTTTACGGTCTAGGCGTTCAACTTGGGGCTATATACAGCGTTCTTATCTTTCGATGGAGTCTACACACAGGGTGGTATCATTTGCATCTGGTTGTACAATATTCAAGGTTCATGCCATATCCATTTCAACACGCCTTGGTCCCTTGAGCGGGGGTAAAGGATTACTTTTGACATAAGCTTTATCCCGGCAGCCTTGCCGTAATCAGTATATAGAGGTTATGCTTCATTGCATATATGTTACGTGTCAAGAATCGTCCGCCTATGTAGTTGGAAACGACATGATCCGTTGGCTCGATAGTAATATTTTAGAAGTCATTTTTAGATATTTTCTTTCTTGAGTTTTGGGGTAGACAGCAGAGAAAAGTATGACTCTGAAGATGACTTGCAACAAATAGCTCAAATTGCTTGGTTCGTGCTCACTGGGTTCTATCTGGCAAAATCCAAGCAATAAATGTCAGGTAAATTGTGTTTTCATGCGATAATATACGTTGGGTTTGGCAGTGCTTGTTGGACACCGACACCGATATATATATTTTTGACTTTGTAGAGCAAATCCGCTGTTTGCGCAGATTTTTAGCACCAATTGATGTTTAGAGAAGCTTGAACTTGATATTCAAGACTAGACAAAGAGGATTTAATTAATTTAAAAGAAGATACTCTACTTGCCCACCAAGTGAAGGTGAAGTAGACGAAGAGAAGTGATAGCAAAGAGTTGCTTATCGTCTCCGCTCTCGGGAAATCTTGATCGCCGAGAGATTTTTTATTTTTGCTTCACTTCTTATCCAACACGAGGAGCCGTATCCCCCATTTGGGTTTCTTGCTTTATTTCTCAATTTCCTTCTTACTCTATGTTTGCTCACTTGGTCACTGCTGCCAAGGGTCTATTTACGCGACAGCCCGAAGAAGAAGAGCCCCAATCCGCCGGCACCTCTGCCACCAATTCCAAGATGGCGACAGCTACCCGACGCGCAAATGTTGCGACCGAAGTTGCGAGTGGAAAGCGCAAGGCGCAGTCAGCAAGTGCTAGCAAGACCGAAGACCAGCAGACCAAGCGGAGAAGAAGAAGCGATCCGAAGGCTACTGGAACCGCAGATGCTACGAAACATATCCCAGAGAAATCTATCGTAATTGGGGATAAAGCACCTGCGGGCAAGAAGATTCGATTTGGTAGCGAGGAACCTGAAACACTCGAAACACAGCCAGAAGAGATTTCGGAAACACCTACACAGGGTGACGACGACGAAGACGATAGTGACGATGATGCGCCAGAGACCATTGATAACTCTGCCCAGCTATTGAAAATGAAGGAGCAGGCTAAGAAGCAAGAAGCTTCCAAGCAATTGTACGTGTGATTTTCATTTGGTAAAGTTGATGTTGACTAATGATTTTTCACAGAGAAGAGCAACTGAAGAGAGAGAAGCGACGGAAACTCGATGAGCGTCGTAAGTTGCAAGCTAAATCGATTGTCAAGCCCAAGGAGTCTCCAACCGATGACATGCGTTCCGAAAGCACCGCTACTCTCCAAGGCACAACTACCCAAGATGCACGACGAGCCGCGCTTCCTGCTTTGCTTCCCGATGACATCTTGAATGCTGAGTTCGCCATTCGCCCTCCTACACCCCCGGCTGAAGATCAATTTGCCATGCCTCAAAAGTCAAATAAGTTGCGATTCCTAGACAAGCAGGACAAGATTCCCAAGGATATCAACCTGGGAGATGTCTCTATCCGGGTGCTGGATGCGCCATCGTCAAAGAAGTCCACAAAGCCCGCGCTGGCCCCTAAGATCTCCAAGGCCGGACGGAACCTCAAGAGTAGCATGCTTCAGAAGACCCGTACCATAGCTCAGGGCAATGGGCTCCGACAGAAGGCAGGCGGCCCTTCTGGATTTGTTCGTCGGTGAAATTGAAAATGGTCTACGGCCATCAAAAGCGAGTTTTGTTCAGTGTCACATATCTTCAAACATAGCTGGAAGTTACATCTACGACCTGGCAATGCCAACGGGGGACATGCTCACTTGCATCGACTGATGTTCCTTTCGGGGGGTTTCGATGCCCGATTGGCGCGAATCGAAAGTCGGTGTCGATTGGACATGCAACCAACCCCGCGTCTACTGCAGCCATTTTGTGATCGATCATTGAAAAGGATTTTTGTGCAAGTGTTACTAGGGTTGCATGGTGTTGGGAGTAAGACCTGGTCTGCAATTCAACTTTGGGGGGTTATGTATATAGAATTCAGTCAATCATGTCTAATAATGTCTGGCAATAAAGTCTTTCCAAAAGATATAAAGATAGAACTGTCGAAACCTCGAAATATACAGAGAAGCGTCGAAATTGAAATGATACAAAAGCGCCAAGGACCGGACTCGGGCAGATTCTCAGATTATTAAGGTGGACATCTTTAGCTTCTCAACGTTGCCAGCTTCCTCTAACTTTTTCCTCATCACTTTTTGCTTCTCTAGCTCCAATTCCATTCGTCAATGGCACACGGCGTATAACTCTACACCTTTTATCTCTTTTGCCATGGCGTCTGACGCTGAGAATTCTCCTCTGCTGCCGCAGAACTCGGCCTCAAATACGTCACCACGGGCAAACCGGACATCGCGGTCGGTATCCTTCAATCCGCTCACACAAATCAGCACTTATGGCACTGCCTCTACCTCCGATCCAACATTTCGGCCGTTGCAAACAGGCTCACCTCCTGTGCAGAATGTCAACGCCCAGCCCCGTCCTGGCAGCCAGCCCATGCTCTCGGCATTAAACAGCAAGCTTCGTCGTCGCAATAGTCATGGGGCTCCCTCTAACGTATCGAACACACCACATGCGGCATCTAAAATTGGACCGCAGCGGACAACCAAAAAAGCACAAAAACTAAAACTGTTGCCGGACCCTGTCACGGAAGAGGGGGAAGAAGGGTCTGAAGGAGATTTCCCTCGGGATGTCTATTCACAAATAACTCGCATCAAGGACCCTGCCGCACGAAGCCATGCTGCACGATTGGGTAAAGCCGACCGCGATCGCATACCTCGAGTGACAGCTTACTGCACGGCCAATTCATATCGACTTGAGGGCGTTATCAAGTTCCTCAAATCGCGGAGCAAGACTCGCGGAGCCAATCCCAAGCTGTATGATGAATGCGTGTACTCTCCTTTTGATTATGAGTACGAGGAAAAGCAGAACGCACGGTTATTAGATCCAAATGGCAATGGACATCATGAGAGACGACCCAGTGAAAGAAGATACTCGGATAGTGCGGTGGAGGTTGAAGACAATAAGAAGACCAGAAGAGAGGACTTGATTGATCTGCACGACGAGCGCGGTCACTCGAATGATGCCGACCAGGTAGTCGCCAAAGACACTCCTGGTATTGACACCACAATCCACACACCCGAGGTATTCCTCTTTGACTACGGAACGGTTGTAATATGGGGAATGACGCCCGCGCAAGAATCAAGATTCTTATCCGATATCTCCAAATTTGCAACCTCCATATTGAGTCCCGATGACACGCAGATTGAGAACTTCAATTTCTACTATGCGCGCGAGTATCAGGCTAGGATCTACAACGACTTCATCTCTCTTCGCGATCCGCGCAACAACATGGTCAAGCTGGCGATCTCTCATGCTCTGGCCCAATCGGTCAAGACCTCGCTTTTCGAAGATCTTGTGTCAGAAACAATTACCGACACTGCACCGCTACCTGCCCAGATTGCGCAAACCGGTAGCGTCAATCTCACCCGTCGGCAAATCAATATGCAGATTGGAGAGCTCTTCATTCTCCGCATCAATATTCACTTGCAAGGGTCTGTCCTCGATAGCCCTGAGCTCTTCTGGGCAGAGCCGCAGTTGGAACCTGTCTACCAGGCAGTCCGAAGCTACCTGGAGATGGATCAGCGTGTTAGTCTGCTGACGGAACGTCTGGATGTCATTGCGGATCTGCTTGCAGTCCTAAAGGATCAATTGACACATCGCCATGGCGAATATCTCGAATGGATTGGTAAGTCTCCCAGAGTTGTGATTTCTAACAACAACCTAGCTAACGAATATCAGTCATTGTCTTGATCGCCGCAGAGATTCTCGTGGCTGGAATCAACATTGTCGTCGATCTCTACGCTGGAGTAGACTAGTCGACGCTTGTCTCGACCAATCAATTGTGCTACGAGTATTAGGCTTTTATATGCTTATGTGCCTTTTCATACAATCCAATACGACTCTACATCGACAGCCGAGCCAGGAACACCGCCTGCCAGGGGGAAGCACCTAACATAAAACACACCCGCGTCTAATCTTCCTGACCATCAACCCTTGCAATCTGTATCATTTTTCCAAACTCGTTATGTCTTCACCTGTACATGACAGAGGACATTCATACCCAGATAATCATCCCATTCTTGTTTCCAATAGTGTGCTGTCTTTCTTACTGGTATTGGAGTTGACGTTGGTTCTGACACGGGGAAAACGGCGTTGTGATTACTGTACAGATGGTGTCAATCAATCGAATCGAATCGCTATGGGCCTTTGCGAAATAAGTTCAGAGACGTTTTCCAACTTTGGAAATGGAACTAAGTGTTCGTAGTTCGTACGTCCTATCAGCGCTATGATGCCCGAATATCACAATGATGTTGAGCCGTGCCCTAAAACTACAGAAATCCACCTTTTGATTGCCACTAGCCTGCTCTCTCTTCCACTTCCCTTACTCTGTCTGCTTCTATGCACTGACTTGACTAGCAGTGACCATAACAGACTTGGTAGTCTAAATGAGCGACATCAAAAGCCCAAGGAGGAACCAATTACTTCATCCATGCTTTCAGCATGATTTCTCAGACGAATTTCATATCAGACATAGACACCAGGAGACCGTATAGTAGTGGAAAGGCCCAATTAAGGCCCACCAAAGGAACGAAAAAAAAAGAAAAAACCTAGCAAAGTAAACCGGCACCGCATCAGAACCCGATGCATAAAACCCTCAAATGAAAACAAAAACGGAGTCTCAGTCCGGGCTATGCAAAGCCCAGAAAGGAATTAAAGAAAATACACGACAAGACCCAAGCCACCCACTAAGCCTGCTCAACCTTAGGCTCCTTAACCTCCTCCCTATCCACATCCATCGGCGTAGTCACAGCCTCAGGACCAGCCTCAGCAGCAACAGGAGTCTGTTCCGCAGAGCCACCACTGCCCGTCTGCACACGGAAGGAATGAGTAAGAGACTCCTGTGTCGGAGCCGGCGCAAGACGGGGAAGGGCAGCAGCAGCGGGATCTACAGATTCGGGATGTCCATCGTGAGCGGGGAGATCATCGTCCAGGCCATCGATGCCGGTGGCGTTGGACTTGCGGGAGCGCTTAACGCGTAGCGGGCGTTCCTCGGGCTATCCAATATAAAGAAAGAACACAGTTAGCTTGGATCAGGCAGACAGACGGAGGGAGGAGAGTATAGGCCGGGCAGTGGGTCTGTATAGGTTTCTTAAGATTTGTGGATTATGCAGATACGTACTGTGCGCGGCTGCTCATCGGAGCTACCCTCCGTATCGTCTTCCAGAAGCACACCGGCCCCATGTGCAGGATTCATCATGGCTGCGGCGCGGGCACGCAGTTCTGGGTTTGCGGTGCCTGTCTTTGCCTCGTCGGCCATGCCGGTGACCTTTGTTAGACGTTCGAGGAGCATGCAGGTTTCCAAGCGCATTTTCTGGATGTATTGGGAGCCGCGGCGGTTGCGGGTGCGCATGATTTCATTCTCGGCTTCGACTTCGGCGAGGCGCTTCTTCAGCGCTATGCACTTGCGCTTGTAGGCGATTTCCACGCTGGGGGGATTGGCTGGCGGGATGGAGGAGGGTTGGCGGGAGGCTTCCATTTTGGTGAAGAGCGAGGAGGTCGGTATTTGTGTGTGGAGCTGGACACGGTAGTTTGAGCTTCTTGGTCAGAGCTCGAAGCACGATGTGAAGGGGGTGATGTGGAATATACAAGGGAGGCAAATGCTCAGATGATAGACAGCGGGATATAGTATGCCTATATCAGTCGTTGATTAATCGTTGGTGACGAGAGTGAGTACGATTGACTGAAATGGTGACCCGACTGAGGAGTGCCAAACGTCGTCGGCAACAATGCGATGACCTCCAACATTATTCTGCCCCGATATCGAAGGCGGTCTACACAATATGGTTTTATCAATGTTTATCCATTTAACTCCTTGCTATATACACTATTTCTCTAGAAAAAAGAACCTCCAAGAACCATGACTACCTAAGGACCATGACTATCTAGTGACCTCCAGTGGTGGGAAGTCCAAGGAACACCTTGAAAGAGTCGTAGCTGAAGGATGTTAGCATCGCTGTGCACGCAAATTAGAACGGAGCAAACACTTACATGAGCCATTGGAAACCGGTCAAAGTTCCCAGCATCACAATACGAACAGGCAAACCGTTCCATAGCCCGGGGAAGCCGATTTTCCCGTAGATCCGGGACACAGCTGTCATCGCACCTTCACCGGCTACACGGGCAGTTAGCATACATCAAGACGGCTGAAAAAAAAGAAAAAGAAAAAACTCACCTTTACGATCAGCATTCAATTTGCTGACCATGACATCTGCTGGATGGCTAACAAGAGCACAGAAGATTCCAGCAATGTAACCACCCAAGAAGCTGACACCAGTCTGTTGTAATTGACTGTACTCTTCCTTGGGCTTACCCATGGTGCGGTAGATGAGCTTGACAGTCTCCTCGAAGGTGGCAAACTTGGTCATGGTATAAGGGATCTGTCTGGCCCACAGAGGGTACAATCCCTTGTACAAACCAGCATAACCCTCCTTGGTGACGATCTTACCCCAGCCCTCACGCATACTGGAGGCGAAAGGTGGCAGCGTGGTCTGCATGCGGACCTTGATAGCTTCCATAGGGCACAGGGCCATATCAGCAAAGAATTCAGCAGTGGCACTGGCACCGAGGAAGACCAAAGTGGGGTTGGCATGCGGGAACATCTGGTTTCCGTAGATGTACTTGAAGTACTCGTACAGACCGTACTTTCCAGCACCCTGCATGGAGTAGCCCAGGAAGGTCGGGGACCAACCGAAGAAGACGCCGTGGAGGCCTTCTTTGGAGAAGATAGTCTTCCATGCTTGGATGTTGGAGGTGTAGATCTTGGGATCAACCTGGCGACGGCATTTTACGAGGTCGAGAGGTGTGACAGCTGTGTGGGTAGGTCCTATATGGAATTGGGTGTCAATTGAGTGAGTTAGTTGCAAATTGGAGAGCTGTCACCTACCACAAGCTAGAGTAATATTGTTAGTGCGTGCCTTGGTGGGATGGGGAGCTTGGACATACCGATGACTCCGCCCAGTGCACAGCTGGCAAAGTACTTGAGCGAATTGGGCTCGATCTTCCCAAAGGGAAGCCTACGTTCTTGTGTGGTCATGGTGTATACTGTAAAGAAGAGGGGAGAGGTGTAAGAAGCAAAGTCCGAATGCTTCCAATCTTTGTACCTTGGAAGAAACTACGGAGTATGTCGTCAGTGGGCCTGTGCTTATCTCCGCACCTCCCGAGTTTTTTTCCTTTTTTGGTATCTTCGTCTACTCCATACACCTCCAGGTGCACTGTTGTTGATTTACTGTCTTTTATTGACCTCGATTGATTTTCTGCATATTCTGCAAATCAACTGATATTCAAGGGCATTCGCCATGGTCCTATATAAATGACGTCAATGATATCCGGCCAAGTCCGGTGCTACAGTGGTATACAACAAGCCGACTTAGCCGGAGATCCCTAGCTTCGCTTATCTGAGCTTACAGCTGATACAGAGGAATGCCTCTTATACTTATCCCCGAGGACTACAACTACAAGGAGATCCCGGAAAACAAGAGAGTAAGAGGATATAAAGCCCTTGAATTAACTACCTGGATCAATGCGGTTATAGTTATCTAGTTGAGACAGATACCTTGTTTATCAGGTGTCTACCCGCATTCAGCCTCAATGACGTACAACATAGTTACCTGATACTCAACCACAAACTAAACCTTTTGGGATTAGAAGGGGATCATATGGTCTCTTTTTACGTTCCTTCCAAGTTCCTGAACTGTGAGAGCTGAGAAGTGCTGGACGATTTCAATTCCGAGCTGTTCACCAAAAAGGAAACAAAAGCCCTTTCAACACGTCTGCTACGAGTCCAGACGATAGCTATGGGTCGCGAGATTCGCTTCAAGCGCAACTCTCGAGGGTCAATCGCACTTCAAGACAGCATGCTTACCAACAATCTCGCTCAGGCAATAATAAAAAGCTCCGACAGTTCTCCAATCTCTTCCAATCCCCTACAAGCCTCCGAATCTGACAGTAGTGACGACGATGCGACTGATTATCCATACCAGACGAACGGCGAATATGGGACTGATGTCGCGACGATGACGCGTAAGCCCGCTGCTCAGAAGGAAGACCCTGGCCCGTCGGTTCGAGCCCGTACGGCCGCCGAGCTCGACGCTACCATCAAAGCGCAAGTCGAGGACCGTGAGCACTATATCCATTCTTTTTCGGCCCTGCAAGCACGCGCATTCGCTAATAGGGTTGTTAAGCTCACTACCCGGGCCTAGACACTGCCGGATTGCCTATGCTACGAAATTTTCTAACGGCAGCCGAACGGAAAATCCGCGATTTGCACCCCGAGCGGACCGAACTAGATTGGAAAAATAGCCAGCCCAGGCCGTTGATATCTACTTTGTATCGGCGTGCAGCGCAGGGGCAGTTGTGTGGTCTCGAAGCCCCAGCGGATCACAAATGTACGCGCTGCGCCCATGGCAAGGGTCAATTCATGCATTGTCGGATAGTTTTCGCGAACACCAACGCACAATGGATGTGGGCATGTGCTAGTTGTGTATTTTTTCGAAGACCCTACCAATATTCATTTCGTACGTTGTACTCTATACTGTGGACGAAGTACGATAATACTGATGTGCGAACAGGTCCTGATGTATCTCCGAATGTGCCCGCGTGGGTTATCGCAGCCGTGGCTGAACGCGAGCCCTCGAATCCATTGCTTTGCACATACTACAGCGCAAAGGATATAGCTATCGCCCTGGAGCTCTCGAAGTCGACTAGTCGAAATCTCCCTGCACCTGTGGCCCACCCGAACCCCGAAAAAATTGATGACGAATACGTACCCTCTGAGCGTGAACCACAACAATCTCCTCATGCAGCTGTAGAAGTGTCTATTGTACATCCCCCGACACATCAACCTACCATTGGAAGTTCACGCGTGCGCGGAAGCACCGTCTCAAACGGGACACCCGCTACTCAAGATATAGACGAAGAGCAACCCGCTAAGCGCCGAAAGTCAAATGTTGGTCCCATAAGGGTCAGCCGGGGGACCACCAAGGACGCGCCTAAACGTCGCAAGCCAGAACCTGGACCCGCAAAGCCCAGTGGGGGCGCCACTAAGGACGCACCTCCTAAGCTCAAGAACGGGGGACTCCCATTCAACACGACCTGGTACAACTCGCCTCTTGAAGACCCCGAGGTGTACCGTATGAAGGATAAAGGCCATGCCATTGATACCTACAACGACCTTGCAGCCATCATCGCTCGCGCCACGGAGGATTACAGTCGGATGAAGGCAGCACTGCTTAGGAAAGGGTTTTTGCCGCAGTCGGGTGACGAAGAGTCGGAAGAGGAGAACGTGTTTTCTGTAGACTGAATACACTCGTAGTTCTAATGTTTATATTGATTCTGAGATGCCACTAGTACTAGACAATAATACGAGGTTGAATAAACTGATCCATTTGGTCTCCAGAAGAGATTTGGGAGGATCTTTATGTTTTTTTTTTGTACGAGTGTTATAGAGAAATATGAAAATCAACAGCCGCAGAATATAGAAAATATCTGCGGTGAAAAAAGGTCTAAAATGTGTAAAACGACTTTTCCATGTATAACATGCGACTGGCTCCAAGTCTACCCAGCCGTATTCAGACGATCTGGTGCTGGTCTGGTGCCGTTATGCGTTTAGCAGAGCATTCAGTGACTGAAATTCTCCCAAGAGCCTTTTTTCATTTCAAGTCATAGTGGTACAGCATAGCTCTCAGATCCCGCGCAATCGGCACTCAAATCACACGCATCAAGTTTAGTTATCGAGATCGTACGCACCACGGGGTAAATCCCAACCAAGAATTTCACCCTGCGCGTCCTCCTGCTCTCCACGCATGCGCTCCGCCTCACGAGCAAGAACCAACGCCAATTTAATGCCCTGCGTAGACCCGACACGCGACAGCACAGTGCGGATCTGCTCCCCCTGTGCCGGGGTCGGCAAACCAGAGGAGAGAATATACCAGAGGGGCCAGAGCAAGCCGTAGCCCTGCGCGGCGCGCATTTTCCACGCGCTATCTGATTTATTCGGGCGGCCGAGGGAGTCGACGTCAGCCAGCGCGAAGGGGATGCTGCGACAGACGTCTGTGGTCATTTCGCGGATGACGGCTTTTAGAGCTGACTCGTCGAGAACGGGTTCGGACTCTGGTCCGGAACTGGAATTCGGGGAATCGGAGAATTGTTTGTTCGCTGCCTTGATGGAGATAAGTGTAGTGTTTAGGCCGAGGAGAAGATGCTGGACCATCACGCGCACTGCGCGGTAGTAGTTCCAGATCACGACGTTGGAGAGGCGGTTGTATGTTAGTAGGAGCTCGCCCTGTGCTGAGTAGACGACTAGTGGGAGCCAGCGGTCTGGTAGGGTCTGTGTCCATTGGGAAATTTCGATGTCGTACTCGAGGCCGGCTCTGATCCATGATTCGATTGCTGCTTGGTCTGGGAGGTTTGGTGGAGATCTTATGTATAGGAATAACTGACAGAGCTTTGATACGGTGAACATGAGCCGCTCGACTGGGTCATTGGTGTTGAGCATGCCGAGGTCCCATTTGATGTCGAACCGGGGCTTGTCTCCCAGTGCAAGTATTTCAACATACTATACAAACGTCAGTCTCGGACCGATATTTATACGGTCCCGATGTCAGAGTCAAACCTACCGTGTGGGCATAAGCAAATGTAAGCATATCTCGACCACGCTGATGATCAACCAGCGTGTTTCCACGGAGCTTCATCAAGAACTCAAACCCGGCCGTATGCGAGCTGAGTAGCCCATTCCGCTCGCCCGAGATATCCTCATACAGCGAAAGCAAAACAACCGAAGCAAACGTCTCATCCTTAACCGCATTAGCCGGCGACGCCAACGCCTCCTGCAAGCCCCGCAAAGCCCGCCCATAGCCCTCCCGCGCCTTATTCATGAGAGGTGGGGCATTCTTCGCATTAGCGAGAGTCATCAGCGCCGTGGCATCAACCGCCCACCGCAAACAAGGAGACGGCGATTCGCTGCTCTGGCGACCGAGCTCGCGGGCGTACAGCGGGGGTAGATATTCGAGGTGTCCGCCATCATCGGCATCAGCTTTGATGGTGTACTGGTCGAAGAAGTAGCAGAGTGCTCGTTGCTCCCAGCTGGAGTCAGCGGGCGAGTATAGCGTCAGGGTAGCCTTGCCATGGTGTTTGGCATGTGAGTTTGCGCGTCGGCGGTGCGAGACAGCTGACATAGATGAGTCCGCCGTTGGGGAGCCGTTCTGGCTGTCGGAATTGCTATGGGAATTTACACCGGCATTGCTCTTCACCAGCCGCTCGACTTTCCTGGTCTCGTTGCGAAAGACAGCATCCGGCCGGTACCCAGGACATGGCCGGCCATAGATGATGCAGTTCCGGCACTCCGGGTGTGCTTCATCGCACTTGAAGGGAGGAATTTAGCATTTGACCTTTCAATGCATGCAAAGAAGAAAGATAAGTACAGACACAATACAGATTCATTGGCGGGGTAAATCCAAAAACAAATATTGAAGCTCGGAACATACCTTTATCTTCCGCTTGCGACACAGGTAACATCCGGTACTTGGCTTGCCCCCATAGACCATTGTTTACCCGCCGGCAGTCGTCTAAGGAACCTCCAAGACTTGCGGGTACTTTGAGCGAAAGCGCAAAGGGGACTGCGAGTTACAGGCAGGTCGGACTCAGATCTGGGTTTCACAAAGGTCCAGGACGGCCGTATGTCATCGGTGGTAACTAGATCAACTCGGCTGCCTAGTCAAAGCGAAGCACATACACATCTTAAAGGATGTACGAATGGCCTTTCTAAAGCAGAGTTCTGTATTTCAGTAACCAATGCTCGCGTTAAGGTCTAGAAGATGATGCTGGGACATTCCCCGAACGGGGTGAGCCAGAGACCCGCTTAGTCATTCTAGGTCTAGGCCACGAGTTGGACATTTAGACATTTGAGCTTCAAACTTGGGCGAGATGAAAGAGTAGGAATGTAAATGATAGATTTCATCGGACTAGATGGTATATAAATCACATTCCAAGTGTTCCCCAAAAGGTATCATGTACTCAACCAGAAAACACTCCGAAATGGCCGATATGAAATAAGAACAATGTAAAAGAAAGGCCTCACAACTCCAATATGGCAACTTCATCAGTCTGGATAAAGAACAAGGCACAGTAACCAAACAGATTTGTGACACCAAATATGCAACCGTTTGGTGCTCTAGAAACACATAGGGAGGGACGCCAGTAGTTCATTCTGAAGGCAAAACACCCACTGTTGAAAAAAACACACCGCGCTTCAAAAGATGGGGAGAGAAACATGACAAATAAATAGATATGCGTAGTCGTTAGATGGCAGGATATCAAAACGCATTTGGATCTGTTCAGACCAGCAAATGCTAAGGGATTAGGAGGGCGCGTCTGGCATAAGTGCATCGCTATCAGTGCCTAACGGGATCGATGCGGGGACGGAGCAGAGGGTTCGACGTCGAGTTGGAACCAGATCGCGGTCATTAACAGAGCTTGTGCCTGTAGTGATTAAACCACTCTCACTGGCTGTATCATCGAAATCATCGGGTGGTGGAGAGAAAGACCAGACCTGCGATATATATTAGAAAACATATTCTCATAAGACAGAACATCGCCACATACCTCCATAACAGTGCGCCCAGATCGGCTGGCCATGATTACTGCCTTTTCATCTTCAAAAGCAACCCTCCAAACCGCCTCGGCCGGAGTAGAAAGCTCCCGCAATAGCTGACCAGTCTGTAGGTTCCAAACCTTGACACGGCCATCGCTGCCACCACTAACAATGCGAGTCTTATCAAACTGAAGACTGGTGACACTGTTATCGTGGGCCGCAAGACGGTGAATCGGCGCCATCTTAGTCAACGACCAAACGCGGACAGAGCCATCCGAGCCACCTGTCACTAGGGTGTCGTCCCGCATCTGTAGCTGACCAACCAAAGACGTATGACCTTGTAAAATGGCGTGGCACTGCCCAGAATGCGGGTCCCAAATCCGGACGCTAGTATCCAAACTTCCTGTCGCGATCCGCCGGCCGTCAAAGGCAATAGCGTAGATCTGACTGAAATGTCCTGAAAGGGTGCGGAGACAGCGGCCTTGAGAGATGCTCCATATACGTGCAGTCGTATCATAACTGCCTGACACGACTAGATCACCATGGATGGCCAGGCACCTTACACTGGCTTGGTGTCCAACGAGGACGTTACGACATGTCCCTGTAGCCAGATCCCATATACGGAGGGTGGTGTCTCTGGATCCTGAGATGGCGGTGTTCCGATCTGACATTTTTAGACAACGCACGGTTGATGTGTGGCCTCGAAGAAGATGGATCCCCGCGCTATCATGTGTTAGTTTTTGTTCGTGCAAGCCGTGGATGTTCTGTCTTACCCAGTAGCCATGTTCCATACTCGAACTTCCCGATCGCAGCCTCCACTGACCAAAATATCATCCCACGGAACCATTGCCCATACTCCCATCACATGACCTTGAAGGGTCTTTTGATTGTCACCGTTGGTATCATATACGTGGATCTTCGCATTATCCAACGCGACGACAATATACTTCGGAGTGAGGTGAAGACTTGTCACTACACCTTGGTCAGGAGTGATATGGCGCTGGGTGCATCGACCACCTTTGTTCCACGCGGACTCGACCATGTATTTTTGTTTGAACTGTGAACGGTAGGAGACAGGTCGGGTCCGACGTCTTCGAGAGAAGCTTGTCGGAGGCAACCATTCTCCAGAAAGCGTGCGGGGTAGCTCCGGTGCACTCTCCGTGGCCTGACCACTGGATGCGGTCAAGCGCCGCTGCAGGCCGTGGAAGGTGCGTGAGCCAGAAACCGGGTCTACGGGGTGGGCGGTGAATGGGTCGACGAGGTCCGCCTCATCGTCCAGTACCCGTCGCACCGAGTACGCATGTTTCTCGCATAGGTTTTTCCAAGTAATGTCATCGTTTAGTAGTTCTCGCCAACGCCGTGATACTTGTGAGGCTCGGGCGAGAGTCTTGGGATCGTCGATAAAGGAGAGAACCTAAGCAGACGCAACATTAGTACTGTATAAGAAGAGAACTCGACCAAACGGCTCACTCTTAAGCATAGCTCATTAGGGAAAACCTGAAATGGGTCTTTCCTCAATCGAGGTCCAACATAACTCGACACAAAGCTCAGATGCTGGCTGTCGCATATGTCCAAAAGGCCCTCCAGGAGTTTCTGTTTTCGACCGTTGGATAGAGTACTGAAGTGAATGCGAAGGCTTAACAAAAAGCTAGTCTCTTCGTCATCGGTCGTGTGCCAAGTTGGTGGTCGTTGATGGGGGGTAGGGCTGGGCGCGGGTGTCGGGGGTGATGCGGGCGCTGAAGGAAGTAGGTTGGCGGGTATAGGAGTGACGGTGCTCTTGGTGCTGAGTGATCTGGATGGAGTACTGGCGAAAGTATTGACTGATTCGTGGGACGGTTGGCTATGAGGGTCCAACGGATCTGTTGTGTGCGCATTCGACCCATCTCCCATGTCGCTGAATGATGCCCGATGGGAGTCCATGGCCGCAGAACAGGGGGGAGGCCGCCACAGTCTAGGATGATCCTCCCACTTGTCCGATTTGTATTTATTGATGCAACGCACTGAGCCTTCTAGCGTTCAGGGCCGGCATACAATTATGAGCGAGTCGGGAGTCAAGAGTATGATGTTCGGGGTTATGAGGAGAGGCTGGCGAACGGCCGAGGGAAGAAGGGAGGTGAGACTAATAATCCTCCGAATGTATCGAGGCCCCCCGTTTTTCTTTTTCTTTTTTTTCTTTTTTTCGAATATATCACTTTTTTTTGTCGTTTCTTTTTCATTCAATCAAAGTCCGAAATCGACTTCCAATGAAAAAGCAGGCGACGAGGAAAGGGGACAGTTGAAGCGGAGGTGTCGTGATTCTGACAAAGCATGGCCTCGCCGGCACTAGTTCAGCAGATGGGATTTATATGGATCTTATGTGTCCGACACTGATCGTATGTTTCCTCTGCATCTTTTTGCCTTCTGATTTGCCTGAGATTTGCCTTTTAGGGATTTATGACAAAAGAGGCAAAAGTGAGGCGTCGAGAATGTAGACACGCAGGTGCTTTGGCCCAAGACCAAGTCATAGATCTCCGGGGCTGAATCTCGTGAACTGTCAAGGCAACCTGAATATTCACGACACTCACGATACCCATTAACACCCACGAGGATATTGACCCAAGGCTGTGGATTGGCATGCGGCTATCGGAATGGGACCGTGGAACCTGTCAAGAACGCCGGGATGATTCAGACTGACGAAACTGACGAATCTTGTCATCACCGACATCATGGGAAGATAAAAAGTATTCTTCGGAGAAGTCAGACGTCGGGGACCTTGTCATGCTTTAAATATGGCACAGTGACGCTACGTAGATGTGATCGTGAGATATCATGCAATTATGACCGATATAGCACCCAGCAGTTATACAAGGAAATCTATTCAAACATATCCTCCCGTATCTCAATTTATCTCAGCTAGAATAACCCATCTCCCAAATGTACCTTGCAATGGGTATAAGCCCTCCAAAATCTAGTTGAAGAGCGAAAATGTAAAAGCACTATGGCGTATCCCCAAGGAATACATACGGGCACTTGCTCAATGAGCATGTCCAATTTGCAAGAATAGTGGCAAGATCATGCCCAAAACAGATGCAATCAAGTCTCTCATGGACTTGTCTGATCCATTCTGGTCTCGGTCACCATATCCGTTGATAGGAAGTTCGCGCGGGGATGAGCCCGGGCCGTTTTCTTGCATGGTGTGCATCGCAACATACCTGCAGGGGTTAATATAAAGGTCTATGGTTCTGACCGAGAAAAGAAGACTCACAAAAAGGTACCCCCAGAGAAAAGCAGTAGCATTCCAGTGCGCCAGTGAGTGCCTGCCTCATCGGCACCGGAAGATCCCATCATCTGTACAAAGAGGAAAGTAGCCAAGGCACCGAAAGGAGCTGCCAGACTGAAGACCAGCAAATGCGCTCTCGCGGTGCGACTTGACAGCCCTTGCTTGAGCAGGATGGATGTTAATCCGAAAGACGCTGGAGCTTTATGCACCATGATCGCCAAGAATATAATGAAACTGAGCCCGGCATCCGAGCTGGAAGCGCCTAGAGCAATACCGTCCGCCGCGGCGTGGATCACTAGGCCGGTCGTGGTCGCAAAGCTGTGGCCACGTCTGGACGCGTGGTTCGCATCAAGCAGTCCACCATCGCGGGAGGGGGAGGAACCCCGCCGCAACCCAGATCCAAGGTTATCCAAAGAGATATGGTAAGGGGTCCGATCGTTTTTTGTCGGCGCTGCGAATTCGGGCAATTTATCGACGAGGTACATCAAAATGAAACCACTGACAAGGGCGATTCCGACCCACGCATGTGGCGAACTCTCCTCGTCTCCGTGGATTGTGTCCTTGGCCGTTGTTTCATCCGAATCCTCCTTACGGACATGAAGTGTTTGCGACTCGGAGAGTTGGTCTCTTTCCAGAAGAAGACCCGGGACAGGGGTATCGGACGGTAGGGTTGAGGCGCTGTCTCCGTTCGGGCCAAACGTGGCTGCCACGACCGGGGCCTGGTGCTGCCATTCAATAGCGGTAGCCCGTGTACTGTGTTGTTTGCGAGTGAGAGCGTTCGCGCTGTAGAGAGTTTCAATGCCCTCGGGGATAATCACGATCAGTGACGTCCCCACCAGAACGCCCATACCAATCGATGATATCAAGCGGAGTTGAGAGGGGGACAGTGTAAAAGCCAGAGGTAATGAGCCGACGACAAAGGATCTGCCAATCATGAGCATTAGCTTCCAAGTGAATCTTAGGTTTCCGAACACAGGAAGCTCACGTAATTGCCATCACAATGCTCAGGGCGAGCAGAGTGAATAGTCCCTCCATGATGATCTCGCAGTTCACTCTATAGACTTTCTATCATGGTGAGGGGAATTGAATAGAGGGTCCAGAGGGAGTCTGGAGATGTGTGGTTGCGTAAGGCGTAAGAGGCCAAGGTGTTGGAAGGACCCGGGGGACCCACGTAGCTCAGGTACCGCTTTCAAAACATACCAGGGGGAAATATGTACAAGGTATGAGCAACATATGCGTATTTAGAAGGGATATTTTATTCGACAATGCCCTTGAAAGGCATGCATAGAGGGCTTGTCCTTGGAAGGTTTATTCTAGAACATGTTGTATGTTCTCCAGCCACACATCTGGCCTTGGTGCAACCATCCTTGCTTGGATCGATTCTTTCTGCATTTATTCCTCCTTACCTTGTCTAGATTACTTCACTTTACCCCTGCTATGTCTATAGCAAAGAACATCGATCCGTGATTTAATATGAAATGTTCAAGCCACGAAAGCCACGCAAGCCACTGTCGGCCACGCTTGCACATTGATACTCCATACTGATGCAAGAACACAGCAGTCACCCATGCTCCACTAGAATACATATGCAGAGATCACAGACCACAGACCCAAAGCCGATCGACCCCGCCATTCTTATCGCATCCGAATCTCCGGGTCACCGCTACCGTGTGGACCCTTTGGGAGTCGAAAGCCCAAGTATGGCAGATACCTTCCTGGATGCCGGCAGACGGAAAGGGCAACACATGGACAGGTATACAGGGTATCAAATACATACGGCAGCCCCCCTGGGTGCCCAAATATCCTGTCGTGGCTTCGGTGAAGTCGACGAGAGACAGATCGAACCTAGAGACCCTGTGAAGCGCTTGGAAGTGAAATTGAAACTGAAACGCCCAGGCGCTACTGCGAACAAGCTAGATGCTACTAGCTGGATAATGATACCTACTTGGATACCGTTTTCCCCGTGTTCAGCGTCTTTTCTGTGGTATCGACCAAAGAGATCATCACTACACCGCCAAGCTGGAACGCTTCAGACCCAGGCCTACATCAAATCCATTGTATAGCTGTCAATAAGAAAAAAATGGCATACAAAACAGCAGCAACGATATCCACTGCCGGGAGGGGAAAAATAGGGTTAGGCATCTCTTAATTAAGGTAGCTGGTAAGTGTTAGGCCACTCAACCGTAACTGTAGGCTATAGCATTCGCCCGTTTCACTATTCCTCTTTTTTCACTCTCAACTCTCTAGGGAGATGTCTTAAGACCTCGAAAAGTCTTATAACCGGACACGTTCGTAATTCAATATCTTTTTTTGGCAATATACTTCATGAAAATAGCTGTTGATGCAATGGAAACGGTACCTCGGCCAGATATCGGTGTGCTGTTGTATACGAAATTGACTTTTAGTAGAGCTAGTCTCTGCGAAGTAACATGGCATGTAGCCGACCTCAGCAGCTTAGCCTGGCATATCAGAAACGCAGCTCTTGGGCCTAACTCATGAACTTCCACCTGCTTTTTCTCTCGGGGAACACGGGTCCCATATGGATGATGTCTCTTAGAAGAAACAGGATAACCCCAAACGATACCACTGGAAGCTGTTCTGGAACAATTTCCGTTGAGTTGTAGAAAAGATCTCTGGTTATACACAGGGTTTATGCGTTTACCCCTATTGTAGAGTGATATAGTCAATGACCATTCTTCTAGCTATAATACCAAAAAGAGAAACAAACAAGTGTAAAAAGACGTCTAAAGAGATATCTAGGAAGACCATCCAAAAAAGACATCGGAGTTATCTACCATATAGTACCCCGTATACCATCGTGAAGACATTATTGAAGTGCTACATCGTTAAGGAGGGAAGCATAGACCGAGTACGCATGCCATAATAAATTCAGGTGCTATGAGAATATCTTGGCTGTTTCTTGTCGAATAGATCCCACGAATTTCCTAGCCGAATATAAACTCATTTCCGATGTCAGGACAACTACGGAGTACTTGATCGACAGGTACCGGAGCTAATGTCTACAAACACCTAGAAACATGAAACTGTCCGGAATTCCAATTTTCCTAGCGCATAGCTGAAACACAGGCTGTTTTAAATTAAGAACGGAGTAATTTCATAGACCTCGAATATATCTCCGCTTTATTTGTAGTTTAATCTAACCAGAGAATAACGATCTCTATATTACTAGGCTGGTTCCTCATATCTTTAGTTTTGTCCTTCATTCTTTTTCTTGCCATATTTGTACTCATTGCTGCCTTTCTCTTTGCAATGGTCCCCTCTCTTTCTTTCGTTATCCCTTTTCTCCCCCTTGTAGCAAGTTTTGTGCACCCTGGCCTCCTCGTCTCTGAAAGCGATATCTCTCGCACCCAGAAAAAGATCAATGCCAGTCTGGATCCATGGACTACATCTTGGAATACCTTGACAAGCCTCTCATTGTCGGACGCCAGCTACACTCCTTCAGCAGTCAGCGTTGTCTATCGGAGTGCTTGGGAAGACAATGCCGCAAACGCACAGCTCCTCTGGCATGACGTCGCGGCAGCTTTCAATCTAGGCTTACGCTGGAAGATATCCAGGAACACGAGCTTTGCCGATGCCGCTAGCAATATCCTGCATGCATGGGCGACCAATCTCACTGCAATCGGTGGTGGCGACGACAAGTACCTCACAGCTGGCCTGCAGGGGTATGAACTCGCCAACGCAGCCGAACTCCTTCTTGACTATCAGCCCTTCGTGGATGATGTCCTCCCATCTGTCGTGGAAATGGCCAATAACATCTTTATCCCGATGCACTACACCTGGCTGAACCATGAAGAGTCGTCGGAGCATAATATTCTTCATTTCTTCGCCAACTGGGAGTTGTGCAATGTCGCTTCGGCGATGGCTATGGCTGTCATAACCGACAATCAAACAGTATGGGATTTCGCTGTGAATTACTTCAAGAACGGGGATGGAACGGGTGCCATCAACAATGCTATCACCAATATCGTTGAAGAACCTAGTACTAGAACTTTACTCGGCCAAGGCCAAGAATCCGGTCGTGATCAGGGCCACTCAGCGTTAGACATACAGCTTCTAGGTGTTATCGGGCAGCAGGCCTTGAACCAAGGAGAGGATTTGTTTGCCTATAACGATAGCCGGATTCTCCGTGGGTAAGTACCATCCAATCATCCCAAGGTTTCCGCCTTAGCAATTACTAATATTCGCCCTAGAACGGAGTACTTTGCGCGATACAACCTTGGAAACGACGTTCCCTTCGTCCCCTACACGAACGGTATAGTCAGCTACACCGAGATCAGTAATGCCTCCCGTGGAGCCATCAGACCTACCTGGGAGCTTCTCTACAACCACTATGTCGTGCTGAAGCAATTGGACGCACCTTGGACCACTCTTTACCTCAACAACTCTCTTGAATATTACGGCGGTGCGGAGGGTGGTGCGGGATCCTGGGGAGAAGGGTCTGGTCATTACGACGGGTTGGGCTGGGGATCATTGCTCTATCACATGGATGAGTCTGATGTTGTATCTGCATCCTCCTCCAAAGCTGTTTCATCTACGGCCAATCCCACACCAAGTGCGTCGTCCGCTACATTGAGCTTGGCTCCTAGCGCAACGACTACGACTTCTGGCGTATCCACCCAAAGTTCGATTGTTTCATACTCAACCACCACGGAGTTTGCTGCTGTCTCTGCTGTCGTGGACATCGAAACAGTTGCATCATCATCAACTATTGCAGCCAACAGTAGGACTTCCCCATCTTTTGTGGGCAGTACAATTCCAGCCAGCACATCGACAGATTTGCCCACTGCCCCACTTGAGAGCTCGCAGAAAGCTCATCACCATCATCAGCCACATCATTACCACGTGAAGGGTCAGGCACATGTTTACCATGTACAATAGGTCTACGTTTAGATGCCCTAGAAGGGCTTCTTCGACCGCTGACCCTGTTCGAATACTTTTACCATGTATATTTCTTGGTTTAGCTAGTGAACCCCTCATACTAGTTTTCTTATGTTTATCGAATGTTTGTCGAACTAAATCTAGGGATCGTCTCGAGACTGTCTCGCGCAACAGCCGAGTGCCCAAATATAATTGCAAATATGGAATGATAAAGCCACAATCAAAGACATTCAATAACTAAGATCTGATGTGTACATGCTTTGTTGTAGACTGTACATATGTTTGACTAGGATGAAACAGATACCCAATTAGGAAAGGCCGATCGATGCCAAGAACCCACTAAATAGTGGAGTCCAAGCCTCCAAGCCCCCCGGTCATCGACTCATGTTCACGGGCTGATCTCACGAATTCTTTGCCTATTTAGAATTGAATACGACCACCCGCATCCACTAAGAGACAATGCCGTTCCATGGTCGTCCCAGTAAATGTTGCGGCAGTTGTCGGGAAAGACGGATAAAGGCAAGTGGCGTGGCCTAACACCAGCCCAATTGTAGACTGACATGGTCTAGTGTGACCGGCTTGAGCCCCTGTGTTCCCAATGCAGGAGAGCAGGCAAGCCATGTGGCGGCTATCGGGATGTGCCGTCTTCAATGTTCCGGGATGAGAATGACAAGGCCGCTCGACGAAGTGCAGAGGCAAAAGCTAAGACCGAGGCCCGTCGAAGATTGGAGGATAGTGCCCTAGAATATGATATACCCACCCCCGGCTCGCGACCCGACTGTTCTCCGTCAGATGCATTAGTCTGCAGGAGCAGGAGCCAATTGATTCGGACTCCGAGAATTGCTGCCCCGCTGTCCATCCCATTGGAGGATCAGGGGCTGAGGTTCTTTATTAACCGTTTTGTGACAAGAATTGTCACCAAAGAAGATGGCTCTTTACAGATAGGTACTGTGAAGCCATCTCCTGAAGTTGGGGCCATTACTCTCGATCAGTCGAGTCGAGATGCTATCGTCTCGGTCGGCCTTGCTGCCTTGTCCAATGTCAATAATGACAGAGAACTGCGGATATTATCTCGAGAGAAACATGTTACGGTCATCAAGGCTGTACGAGAAGTAGTGGAGAACCCCACTCAGGCCAATCCCGACAGAACACTCCACTTGATCGTAATGCTGAGTCTGTACGAGGTATGCATTTCGTTTCTAATTGCTTTTTTATAATTCAAACTGACCCGCGCAGATGGTCAGCTGTACCCCAAACCAGCTCAACTCTTGGATAGTGCATATGAATGGTGCGGCCGCGTTACTTAAACAATCCATCTTTCGGTCATCACTTACCAACTTGAACCATCGAGCTCACTTACAATTCTACTTTGTCTCAATTGTCAAGTATTTCTCCAAGAGGGTTGTCACCCCAGATCTACTGAATTGGTCTCCTGATCTCATACCATCTGCGCCACCGGATATCTTACCAGATGTCGACCTAGTTGACATACTGATAAGATATACGAAGTTCGATGCACATGTGCATCACCAAAAGCCCGGTTCCAGAGCAGTAGTGAACTCAGCCCTATTATTTGAAGATGAACTCCGCGAGTGGGAAACTCACCTCCCGATCCACTGGTCCTTCGCTATAAAAGAACCCAACACATACGAGCACACCTTTCGTGGCCAGTATCATGTCTACGCGAACATGTGGGTTGCGAGAGTTTTCAACCACTACCGCTGGGCACGATTACTGGTCAACGAGACCATCGTATCCCAAATTTCGAAAATGGCACGACCCACCGCAGACGATGTAATTCAACGGCAGCAAGCATTGGACACGATTTCTTGCATGGCAGGTGACATATGCGCCGGAACTGCAAGTCAGGAAGCTATCTTCGAGCAAGGAGTCAATGAAGACCCGTCAGATATACCACTGTTAAATGGTACATTCATGCTACTTTTTCCACTAGGAATTGCCGGGAGCGCAGCGGGGATTCCTGACGAAGTTCATGATTGGGTTGTTGAAGCGCTGGAGCGAATAGGACGTACGACGGGGATCCGGCGAGCTTTGGAAATGATACCCCAACTGAAGAAATCAGCTGGGAAATGGAAACTAGATCAGAAGCGATGGAATAGAATACATGATAGGAATGAAAGTTAAAAGAAAGACAGCCTGCGAACTTCACTCTAGATATCATCTTTAATATTCGTCGCCAAGATGTGTTCGGGAATGTTTTGGCAAGCTAGATAAGGTACAGCAAGATATAGATGCTAGACAATAACTATTGAACCTTCGGGTCTATTAGGTGTAGTGGTGGCAACTAGCGTCTATATCATCACCGAGAATGAAGCTGGATAGTGTTCCAACTTAGCCCCTTCCTTGGAAGGTTCTTTTCTGTTACTATCCGAGTACTCGCAGCTTCCTGAATTGTAAATAGTGGTATTGACCTCCCTGATATATTTTCTCACTTGTCTTGTCCGAGTCTTATACTTGTGAATAGTCCGGAATCAGAGGCTTCCAAAATTTGTGCGTAAAGCTGGAGCCATAGAGCCTTTTCCTTAGACAGTCTGTTAATGAGATATTCAATCCTTATTACGGCGTACGGAATAGTAGTGACTGGTCAAGGTTTATTACCGTCTAGAGCTAGGCGGGCCATAGATCCAGATTAGGTAATACTGATGCGCGCCTGGGCCGGGGCGCGTTATTCGCGTCTCTCTTTAGACCTCAGATCCTTCATCGTCTCTTTTGACATTCAAACTCCACATATCCTGTCAAAATGGCGAGCGAAGCTGGATGTGAGTTCATAGTCTCCCGCTATCTAATGCTGCCAAGATATAAGCTGATTAGGATTCACTTTAGGGTCTTGCGACGCCAACGATGCGGTTCACGTCACGATCATTCAACCCGGCGAGAAGAAGCCGAAAACACTTTCAACCTTCCACCCCCAATTTACCTATCCTATCTTTGGCGACGATGAGCAAATATTCGGCTACAGGGGCTTGATTATCCGCTTGCGCTTCGCCGCCCATGATTTGCGCCCTCATGTTCATATTTCTTACGACGAGAAGTTCAAGTCCGTCGGTGACACAGCTGCTGTTGATCTTCTCGATACTTTGAAACCCTTTGTTCAAGAAGGTGAGTTTGGCCTGTGCGACAGCGGGCGCGATATAAGCTAACCACATTTTGCGCAGAGGCGTTCGCCGATCTCCAAGACTATGAGAAAGCTGTTCAAAACGACCCTGATGCGAAAGACTTCAAGCCTCCGGGCGAGTTTGTCATTAGCTACGAGGTTGAGGACCGAAAATATGAGGTCTGGGCTGGATCACTTGCAGACCCTGAAGTGCGGAAAATTCTGGATCGCATGCAGGTTCTCGTCTCCCTCTTCATCGAAGCTGGAACTCCCTTAGAGACAGACGACCCCGAGTGGACGCTCGACCGGTGGAGGGTATATTTCGTGTATGTTTGTCTTGTGCTGATATCTGTGACCTGAGGCTAATCCGATTTACAGATATGAGAAGGTGACTCCTCCAACAGCAACAGCATCATCGTATTCGATTGTCGGATATGCCACAACGTACCGCTATTGGTATTACCAGCGAGATCAATCACAAACGCCCGCGGTCAAGAACGAAGTGTTCCCGTTACCAGAAGTCAATATCGCCAAGCTTCCTGCACGACTCCGCATTGCCCAGTTCCTTATTCTCCCTCCACACCACCGCGCCGGCCACGGCACACACCTATATACCACAATCCACGCGGCCTGCATCGCAGATCCGACCATTCTAGAATTGACCATCGAAGACCCCAATGAACAGTTCGACGCTCTCCGGGATACAGCCGATTATTGTCTGCTGCGGCCGGAGTTCCTGAGGCACAACGTGAATCTCAACCCCGATCCCCTTGGGGCGTATTCTCAAAAGAAACGCCCTCGCAATGTGCCTACTTCCGCCCTCATCCCTACCAAGCTTCTACATGACATCCGCAGATCGTTCAAGATCGAACCTACGCAGTTCGCACACGTTCTAGAGATGTATCTTCTCGGTCAGATTCCTCAAAGCCACCGCCTGGCCGGTGGCACTAACCTTGCCCGACTGTTAATCAAGAAGTACAAGGCCGAAAATGAGGATGACCGACGCTACTATTGGTGGCGTATGCTAACCAAGCAACGTCTCTATAAAAAGAACAAAGAACTTTTGAACGAACTGGAGCTTCTAGACCGAGTGGAGAAACTTGATGCTACGGTCCAAAATGTGGAGGAGGGTTACGAGATCACATTGGATGCGCTCGAGGGCCGCTTGCCAGAAGGTGAGGATGAAGAGGAAGAGGCAAACAAACAAGTTAGCAAGGCTCCTACCGGTAGCCGAGACCGGCGTGTCAAGCGCAAGCTCACAGTTATGGATGATGATGACGACGAGGAGGAGGACGGGACACAGCTAGCTAAGCGACCAAAGGTTTAAGCCTTGCGGTGCTCAGTTCTCTTATGCACTATGTAATGCACACGAGGATGTTTTCGAAGTCAACGGATTAATCTTCTCTCCAATAGGTGTGCAACCTCAAAAGCTCAATTCTAGTCGATACCCCCTAATTTATGTTACCGAAAGTTGTCAAACTGTAGATCTATGCTTTTGGTATATAATGGACGTAAATAGAAGAATATAAAGAATTCGAAGGTTCCTCGTAGTAGATGGCACCCAAGCCACATTTGGGCTCGGCACTTCCCTTTTTCCGGCTTCCTCATCGCATCTCTTAGAGCTTGAATCCATTGCTACTGTCAACATCACCAGATAAATCAACAGTGCTGGGTCTAATTCCTCCGTTCAATCCATAAGCTACAACCTTTGGACACACGCAACAACCCGCGCTCTTTCAACTCTGTGCGCCAACTAACTCTCCCACCTTCACCCACCTCGATCGTATTTCAAAATGGTAAGCTCCAGCTTTACCCAAACGCCTTTTCCGACAACTATACTAAGTCAGTTTATGATCAGCTGCCTCTCGGTCTCCTCACGGCCGCACAGGGCCACCCCATGCTCGTGGAGCTCAAGAACGGCGAAACTCTGAACGGCCACCTGGTTACGTGCGACAACTTCATGAACCTGATTCTGCGCGAGGTAGTGCAGACGAGTCCTGAGGGCGACCGCTTCTTCAGATTACCCGAAGTCTACATCCGGGGCAACAACGTAAGCCCTCCGACACGCAATCAACGCAGAGCCCCGCTCCTTAGGCTATACGCTAACAATCCACCAGATCAAATACCTACGAGTTCCCGAAGAGATTGTCGAAATTGTTAAAGAGCAGCAACAGAACCAACCACAAGGCCGTCGCGGCGGTCACGGGCGAGATGGTGATCGTGGCCGCGGCCGTGGTCGGGGTGGTGGTGGCGGCCGCGGTGGACGTGGTCGGGGACGAGGCGGCCCCAATTAGACATAAGTGTGTTCTGCATCAATGATTTTAAGAAGACGG